GTTGAGCTTATCCGGCGCTTCATTAAATGCCTCTTGCTATCTTTATGCAGATGCCCACCGTGTGTATTGCTTGGGGCATGCAGCTTATAATTTTGGGTGGGTTTTGTATTTGTTGCAATGTTGTGTACAACTCTACCCCCCATACCTGAATCTCTTCCCTCATGTGTTTTGTGGTGGTGCATACTTTTCCAGCTGTTTGGCACCACAACTGGGCCCGTAGCATTCATTTGCTCCTTATGGGTGTAACAGACATACAGACAGACAGCAGTGGTCTAGTTATGCTTGGCACATTTCAAATACGCCCGGGCAGCCGGCCATCGCATACGGCAGGGTGTGTTGCGTGTGAGCTGGGTATGCTGCATGCAAGCTGCATATAGGTTGTCAGTAGCTGCCGCAGTGGCGCCTGGCAATGCCTCGGCGGCGCATCATGCTTTTTCAGCATCGTGATGCGAGATTTGGATGGCCGGCCGGCCCACCTCAGCTAGTAGCTAGTTGCTACTAGAAGGATGACGGCCGTGGGGGCTCGCATGCGGGGGTCCCCAGGCGGTGCCGGTTGCAACCTTTCCGCCAGCCAGCCGACATGTTGCACAAGTCGAGTTCGAGTTCGATTCTTGCAGGTTTTGGGCGCCTGCCACCGGCACGGGTGCCGAGCGCCGAGCAGCGGGGCTGCCCCCATAGGCTCACTCACCTTCGCACCGTCGGCCTCACATGCTCTAATAGCTGCATGAGCGGATCAACACCACTTTTTTGAACCCTTGATGTTTACGCTTGAGGACCTCTTTATGAGAGCGGTTGAGGACCTCTTTATGAGAGCGGTGGTGTCCGGCAGGACGGTCAGCATGGGGCCATATCCCCTACTGTTTATTTTTAGCTGGTTTAGCAGGAGACTAGAGGCACACAAGCTGTGCCCACTAGCCCCCTTCTCTCGCGTGATGACCTGAGCCTTGCCCCCCCCCCCCATCTATGTCGCTTGCCCTTTGAGGCGGTTCCCGCCCGCCCGCCTGGCCGCTCCCCCAACTTCTGTGCCGGGGTGGGTGGCGTCTCAGAGCCGCTAACGCTGCTTGCTGGCGGTCCTGGCCCTTGATCCCCTGGTTCCGCCTGTCTTGCACCCCGTTTCCCGCTCCTCACAACTCTCTTCCTCGCAGCCCCGCGCTCCGCCGCCTTGTCTGTTGGTTTGTTTCATACTCGT